ATAAATTATAAATGATAACAAACCATTTTTTTATTCATTAATATTATACTGAAACTTAGTATTTTCTAACTAATATTACGCTGAAATATTGAAATAAAGGGAAACTACATGTTACTGTCCGAGAGTGACCAAATGAGTGCGGACTAACTGGACTATTCGGACCGCAAAGGGTTAAAGACGTCGAGTAGAAGTCTAAAAATGTCCAAAAGACATCTGAACAACGTCCAGTGTTACAAATCAAGATGCTTTGAAACGTGGCGTTCGGAAGAACTATGCGTTGGCGTAATTTTTAAGAAATTGAGTGAAACCATACAAATTGTGCTTTAAACATTTCTAATATCATTAAAAACAAAGGAGATACTTAGATTTTCGCCTTATACTGGGAAACTTTTTATAATGATTGTGTTACTCGTTCAATATACGCATGTCTTTCTTGGCAAAAGTATTACGTAGATTTGTTAACAGTGAGCATTATATTAAATACAATTTAAAATTTTTAAAAACAAAGAAGCACACTATCGATATTTCAAGAATTAATTTTCATCCTGTGATTAGATTAATAATTTATATTAGGTACTTTTTCCTAACTATTAATTTATACCGTACAACAAATGGCAGGAATTTTATATTTACGTATTATAAATCGAAAAGAAACGAAGCTTATTAAAACAAATTTCCAACATGATATAAAAAAAGAACAGAGTACTGTACACAGTATTCTTTCGAGTTGGAATTAGCTGGATTACATACACTGATTTCGTTCTACTATAAACTAAATATTAACGACAGTGGATTATGTTTTTAACGGTGAAAGCACGACTAGAAAATCGGAGGATTAGTTTTACCGATGTCAGATAAGGATCGGCGAACCAAAGCTCGGCCACTAAATCGCGGCGCACTTGCATCGGGGTCGATTGTTCGCGAGATAAAAGAAACAAAGTGTCGTGAGTCAGAAGGAAGCGATCGAATTTTCGGGTCCAGATCGGATCAGATTAGACGATACCCAATCCTGGAGACGTGCCATTTGATCGTAGGACAGAGACAAATGCGGCTATGAGTCAGATCACCGAGCAAAGGGGAGAAATTTTCTCGAAATTCCTGATACAATCCTATCGCGAAGTTAAACAGAACAGAATTCGAGCAATCGTCTCCATAAACATAACGACGGAATTACGCGTGATTGAGATTGGCCAATTCTCTATGAACACAGCGTGACGTTCGGATAAGTTCCAACTATGTTAGAAAATCTTAATCGAATGAGTTTCGTTTCATCGAGCGAGCAATTTCCCGTTCCATCGTGCCGGGAAATTCCGATATCTCTCATGATTATTTCCCAGTGTTTCTCTTTTTGCCTTTTACTGTTCGGTCTAGTTACAGATCCGTAGAAGGGCACTTTCCACCTATTCTGATTTTCGCGAAACCACGGTGCTCTACTCTTACGGAATTTTTACCAAACAAAAAGAATGGGAGAAAAGTAAAATGTTCGAAATGTGAAATTTTCTTGTACAGTATGTTTAAAGTCAAGATAGAATCCTAAAAACTTTCATTTTAGCTAAATACACTGAAACGAATGAAATTATTAGACAAATTGGACGAAAGTTATAGTTTGCTAAGTAAGAAGATGAAAAACATGTTTGAAGACGATGTTACTGAATTGTTTGCAATTGTTCGTTGTTTCGAGTAATATTCATGTTAAAACTAAATAGGGAACAAGGGTAAACTAATTTTTTTCGAAAAGTATTGTTAAAAGGACATCGTTTAATTAAAATTTAATAAGAATTACAATTTCTACTATACCAACGTTCATAAGAAGATCATAAAGAGATAACAACAACGAGTATTTGAAATAATACATAAATACAAATGAAGATTTTCTTTGAAATAACATTACAGAAATATTCCGGTGCTACAATCTCTTAATATAGATCTTTCCTTCTAGGAGCACAAACACTTTCCTTAAGAAATCGTTTCCCGGATAATTCTGGCGGTTTAATCGTCTATTATAGAAATTGGCTCGTGGCGTTAATTCCGATTTTTCCTTATCTGGGTCCGTGGTATCAGCGAAAGAGGCACGAGAACTGTCTCGAGGCAAAGAAGATAAGGTAAAACGGCGTTTCTGTAGCCAGCAGAATGGTGAAATTTTGCGGTTAACGAACCTACGGAGAAATCCAAGAGATAACGAGACGAAGGGATGGAAAATGCTCCTACGGGATAAGGTGGCTTCGTCCTAGTACTTCCGCGGCAATAAGGCGGTACCGAAACGGTGCATACGTGTGCACAGGTTACCCGTTTCGTGAAATTCGAGGATCTAACGGAACCTTGCACATTATTGTCATTCCAATAAGGTGTCGTTAGACGCGAACAAGAAACGGTATTTTACCTGTTTACGATTATCAGGTAATATTATACAGGGTGGACCAATACGAACGACCACCTTGGATATCTCTGGAATTATGAAAATAAGAGAAAAATTTTTCGAATGAAAGCTGTATGCTGTGAAAAGGAGTGTATGGCCATAACGATTTTTTCACAGATGTAGTCGCTGAAGATATGTGAACATCTTCCCTGTTTTTCTTTACTTCTTTGCTAATTATCACCCTTTGAACTCCAAATTTCGTTTCAAATTTCCTTTCAATTTTATTTGAAATGCACTTCAAAAGACATCTGGTTGATAGGGACCAATTTAAATAATTTTTTTTACTAATTCTACTGAAAATAGCAGTGAGTTTTCCTTCACAATTAATCTGTTACTATTCTCTAGCTCTCTACTCGGCAGATAACTACATTTCTACTTTTATCTCGATGGTAAACTATCGAATAAATAGTTTAAAAAAAAATAGCGTCACCCAGTCAATCGAAAAGTAATTCAATCTTAACCTCCAGACGCTCGCCTATAAAACAGTATAGTGTTCAGAATAAAAGTAGCAGGCAAGTATCAGAAAAAAAGTGTCACCAACGAACAGATCCTTTCTCCCTCGTCTGATTACGTATTTTACAAAACATGCAGCTCCATGCGGCTAAAGAACATCGTATTCAATCATCATTAACAAAAACCATTTGCCTGTGCACTTGGTATTCGAGATACCGAACCAACAATTATGTCCGACAATAAAGTTGAACAGCCCCTCATCAGAAATTAATACGGAACTCACGGGGCAACCGAAGCGCGTAACGATAGGCACGTAGGCTCGATTTTCTTGACGTTTAGCGTTCCAGTTAGCCAAAAGGGAGGGCAAGAGCGACGGAAAAGAAGGGGAAGTTACTTAGGGGAAGTGCTGCTCGTTTCGAGGGTTACACGGGAGGCGCGTTCGTTCGGTTTCCGTGGTGACTGTAGGGAACGCAAAACCGAACCGCACGGTTTGTATCAACGGTCCTTCCCCCTCGAATACTGGCTGTTTGTATTTCATATTGATAGAGTATTGATACAGCCCTCCTATAACCCCTCCGCTCGACAAACTCACCCCGTCCACCCCCGTCTAACCTCTGTGAACGGTTATGACGAACCGTTACTACCCCGCTCCTGGTCCCGGAAATGTAAACGAGCAAGCCCGTGAGTTACCATTTCGGCTGGGTCACATGTTTACCCCGTTCCGCATTGTTGCACCTCGCTAATTGCCGGTGTAAGCTTTTTCCTCTGTTCCGCCGGGGCTACGTGCGGAACAAGCGACTCTAGTCGGCGTACTCCGAAAGGCAGGTATAAGCTGCATCCAGAACGGACGAATCTCTTTTGCAGAATAAACCGAGAGGAACGCGGATAATGCGGGGAGAAGAGGAAGGGGTGAGAGAAGAAAATACCACCCTTGTTACTCCTTCGGGAACGAAATATTAACTTTGAAATAGGTTAGTTTGGGAAGCATTTAAAATGTAGAGTGCTTTAAGATTATAGGATATTTCCTGTATCATTAGGTATACGTGTAAGCACATCTATAGTACGCATGTCCCTCGAATTACACGGTAGATACGTTCCACGCAAAATCGTGTGAAACGAGACAGAGCTCGCATATAAAAGGGAAGGATTCGAACTAAATTTTAAGCCGTGCAAATCGAATCAAAGAATATAAAGAAAATTCGTAGAGACGTTCATAATAACCGTGTAAAATGAGACAAGGATTTTATGGAAAAATGGAGATTGGTTCCACTGAATGCCAAGTCGCGAAGCTGATGCTCTAGTACATTCAAAACGTATTCAAAGACGCAAAATTTTTATGCTTTCAACTCATTTATTTATTTACAAGAAGGAAAAACACATAAACGTAAACAACTTTTCTTTAACAAATACAAAAATAATGTAAAAATAAAGACGTAAAAAAATAGAAACTGTCTTCAATCTTCGTCAGAACATTCGAAAGCTGGGGCTCGTTTTTTCGTTGCTTGTGGAAAAAATTAATTTCTCACGGTTAAATCCGTCGTTGAGTTACAACAAAATACATAAAAAAATGCATAATCGAAATAAAATACAAATTATTTTTTTTTCGAAATTTGAAAACCGTGTAATTCGAGGGACGGGTGTGTATATGTACAACTATTTCCACGGTATCGTTGAAATAAAGGAAACTATAGAAAATGACTTTAAAATAATAATTGTTTTTTGTTACGCAATAAATATTGTCTACACTTCGAAAAGTGTATAATAATTAGACTGGGCGATGACATCGATTTATAACTCCTTTGTGCTCTTTAGGCACGGAAAATTATTGTATAAGAAAACTTGACTTGTAATTACGCACTTCCACATCAATTTAATAAACCGGATTTTAAAGCAATACGGTAAAAAGAATAGATTTTTCCGCCGGGGTTAAAAATTTACCGTCTACCACACAAGTTAGGTATTAAAATCTGCCGCAGCGAAAGAGTTAATTACAATGCACCTTTAATTAGTAAAGTAAACGCTGATACATTTGAAACTTCCGACAAAATTTGACGGAATAGACACAGATATTCCCGTAAAAATAGAAACGATAGGTGGTTTTACAGGTGTAATTATTTGCCGACATACGTACCGGGTGTCCAGCAAGGCTCTGCCAGGAGAAATCGAGGTCTGCGATGCTTGCGGGTACAGGAACAACGAAGTTCATCGCGTATGTGTTAACCACTCCTTCCCTGACGTAGTATAGCTCAGCTTCGAGTCCTGGAAGCAGAACGGTAATGTATATCGATCGGTTGATCAATTATGAAAAGCCAGTACTGGCGACGAGAACGAGCGGCATCAAGTTTCCCTTCCATTCGTCTTCCTAAATCGACCGATCAAACTACGGCATGTGTAACCCTTCGCTTACACACCGAGGACATTGACCAGAATTCTGCAGCTCTGAAAAAAAGCTGTCAACTACATGATTTAAATTACACTTTTTATTTCCTTCATTTCTTCACGTATGGTAATGTAAAACACAACAAAACAACAACGAACAAGTAACTGTAGATATATTTTTTGAGCAAGATGCGTTGTTGACTAAATTTCGACGAAGTAGCACGAGAAATTGCGCATATCTGATTTATTTCGAAGAACTTGAAATGTTTCAAATTTTCGTAATTCTATAAGAACAAAGTTTAATCCCCATGCAGGTTTCTTAACAGAGGTATGACTGATTTCGGCTACATGTGTTGATAATTAGAATTAAATCGCAGAACAGAGTCATCTATGGAAAGTTCATGGTATACACTGGACGGTGTAAGAACTTTATCGTGTATGAGTTGAATAACTGAGGGTCCCAGTGGAAAATAGGCACATGCCACATATGAATTTTTTTCCCTTCTTTTTCTACCATTAATTCATTCCTGCGATGTAGCGTACGTTCCACCACCTCCTAATATATTAGCATTTAAAGTACGTTTCACCGAGCAGAATGATAATAAATTTTCTTCGCGCCGAGAAAAAACAAGTGTGTAGTGAAAAAGGGGCCCGTGCCACTCGGCTCCTTAGGGACACGTTAGGTATACCCAGTTGAATCCTTGATACTCTGCTAACAATCCACTTCTGCCGGAAACTTATTTAACGATTACTGCCGCTGCACTTGCCCCACGATAAGATCGTTCCTCGACACCGCGAAATAACCTTGGGTATTTTATGAATAGATTTTACGACGCGAATCCACTCGAAAACCTCTACTCTCTATTCCGTACTTTTATTCCTTCTCCGAGCGTCACGCGTCTTTCGGATCACGATCCCGGAATTCCTTCAGAGAGCTGGTTCCTGCGCGCATATCCCCTTTCGTTCACGGAAAATCTGGTAGACAAGCCAGGTACACGACGATCAGAATTTCCTCAGGCGATCGGTGCGTCATCCGTCTGGCTTCACGTATGACTACGCAATTCGATATCACGCTCGCGACAAGCCACCCCTCAATAGGTGTACGAGCGTCTCAATAGATGCACGTCGAATCGAACAGGAATTGCACTCTTAGTCACCGTTTTTTTAAAAAGTCCATGCGCTTGTTACCCATCTCGGGAAAGTACGCTTCTTTTAAATAGTTTTCACGATGCTCGATCTGAAAATTTCGAGGATTTTTATGAAACCAGATAACCCGTAACCGTTTTATTTCTGATTTTAGTGCTTCTACATAATAACTTTTATTTATTATTATTTTAAAGCTGAAGGAACACGTTATTGTGTTCCACAAAATTTTTTTGTTATTCGTGGAAAAATGAATGGAAAGTGTTGACTAAAATTCTTTCGTTTGGGTCCTCATTTGTGAACAAATGGAATTTGAAGTCGCGTTAGTTTATTGTACGATCAAGTAGAAAGTCAATATAACAGTAAATACGTGATAAATTTTTTCATCCAATATTCAAATAAATAAATTTCGAAAACGACGCAATATATTCACCGATTAATCGAACATAATTATCGTACTTTTTCCGTCCACATTGGTGTCACTCGTACATACTGACAAAATAGATTTTTTCAAACACGTTAATTTGTAGCTACGGCTGTAATTTCTGTTTGATTTAACATGGAATTACTCGTGTCAGTATAAATGCGCGCTCGAATACACGTTTACATGATTCCATCTATTTTGAAATTAACGTGTCACTTTTGCGGATAGGAAATGTTCAACATCTGAAATACGTACGTGCGTATCTCGACAGAAAAGGGCGAAAGGAGGAAGGAGGTGTAAAGCACATCGCGAATTGACTATCTTTTTCAGGAATCTGGAACGAGCGATATTTCTTGTTGAACAGTCGCATTATTGGATATACTTGCACACAGGCGTGAAAGTAATTTGAAGCAGTCCATGTATTATACATACACATGTTCAACTTATGATTTATGGACAAATATAATTTTTCTACTATTTACGCGACAATATTAAAAATTATTATTCAATAAATTTACCACTCTTAAATACCGCTTTTTAAACATTGCTTTCTATTTTTAAATAAGATCTAAATTTCTTGCAAGTACGCACGAATATTACAGTGTTTAAGTGTTAACACTTTGCACTGGAAGGTCTTTTTGCTATAGGCTTTTGCTATAATTGTTAAACTCTTATTCTAAATTCTAAGTCTGTTAAAGTCTCAAACACAAGACTTTGTAACACAGTTCATTAGAGGTTGGTTTTTTTCAACTATTTCACTTGAATAGTTTTATGAAGGCCCATAGACCTGCTGTCCTAGAAAATATCAACTTTAAGAGTACCTCCGTTAATTATTTACCAAGTGGTAAATAGTAATGTCGCTTCTCAGTCGCCTCTCGAGTGCAAAGTTAGTAGGAATTGAGAAAACTGTAATTTCAATGGAGAGTGGTTGCAAGTTTCGAAATATAACGACAGAAATATATGAATCTGAATGAAATCAATTATAAATAATTAAACAGGCATGTAGCTAGAACTCACAGAGGAAGGTCAATGAAATTCATAAAACACGATCAAATAATCGAGTTTCACGTTTTTATCAGATGTTAGGTAGAACAAGCCACGTAGTGATAAAGGTAAAAGTGAGATGACCCAGTTGTAAGGTAACTTCAGACTTTGTGTTGCTGTTCACACCCTGTAAATATTAATGGAGCCTGAGTGCTACTTTGAACGATGCCACCTCCAGATGTTAGACTTTCAGACTTACACTTGTTTTCGTAGATGCGATATAAGTATTTTAGTGAAAACAGCGATACCTTATAAAAGATTACTTTCCATATTCGACAAATACATTCGAGAACAGAACGAGCTATACCTGTATTGCATCGCTTATTATTTTTCAATTTGCTATTAAAGTGTCATTGTTTATATTTCAGCTCTAAGGCCGATCTCGAAGTTGCTCTATGTGAAGTGGTCCGAAAAACTCGAGCGCGGAGTGATATTCGAGCAGTAGACCACGCCTACTTGAGCAACAATCCTGTGGTGGGGCACTGTACGAATTTAGTAGTGATCACCCGGCTTGAAAAGCCAATAGTAATCACACGTGCTGAAGAAAGTAAGCGATTGTACGATAGTATAATCTGGGCCACGATATAGCGTGATCGTAAACTAAATCCCCAAACTGCGGCACCGATTGATGTCGCGGTAGATAGTACCGTACACTGCATTTTCTTTTAAGTGTCCACACAATAAAAGAATGACGAGTTATGACTATACGTCGTTCAGAATAAGAGTAACCTCGCTCTCGGACCGATTCTCGTCCGTTCTGCGCAGACAGAGAGCGTAGCAGAGGGTAAGACGGAGAAAAACGTAGGTTGTTAAGTGGGGGGTTGGACATTCTAGTGGTTCTAGCCCCGCCTTAGGCACGTCCCACGCGCGAAGTGAGGTTACTCTCATTTTGAACAGAGTATAGCAGTATTTCGTTTACTATTTGGAATATACACTCATTTAAAATATTTTATTATTTACTGATAATTGCAGGTAACCCCCCTATAACACGTTGTTAGGTTCCTAAGAAATGGCGTGTCGATGCGACATCCACGCTCGAATGAAAAATTTCAAATGAGGTATCTTTTGCTCTTAAAAGCTTTTATTATGTTCCGTGGTATTCGGGGATTTCCCTAATTTCAAATGAAATATTTTTTGTATTTAAAAGCTCTCATTACGTTCCGTATTGTCCGGGTATTTCCCTAATTCTCAAACCGTGTTAGAGTGAAACCGTGTTATGCGGAGGTTACCTGTACCATTTTGAATGTTAGGAGCTTCTTTCTGTATCCGTATAGCCAATACATCGTATAAGAAGTTTTCAGCGGCCTTATTGCTGTCAATTTAGTTGTTCCGACGCCCGAAGCATGTTTATTTTGGCTCCTGATGACTTTTACAACCACGCAATATCGTGGGCCGGACTATGCCAATCCACGCCTACACCTCCACCACTACCGTTGTTCCCCACTCCATTCACGACTGTCGACGTCACTTGCTCCTACCTTTGCTCGCAGCAGTGCTTGCGAACAACGGCGAGTGCTCTTGCTCGTAAAACGTCTGCCTGAGCAGTCCTGCCTAGGCTGAAGATAAGTCTGCCTCTGAAAGGACATTTACTACTACTTTTCCGCTTCTCTGTCCAAGGGGTCAGGTTCAATTCCCGGCGAGTCGTGGCCATTCGCCTTGCCTTATAGTCGGCGGAAGCGATATAGCGAGGTCGTAAAATCAGTCAGGTGTCAAAATACACGTAATCCGAGCGCCAAAACAGCAATTCGAGGGAGATAAGAAACTCGAGCCTCACTCAGGGCCGTTCGATGTCCACTCGGAGCTGGTTGCTCTGTTGCGGTATATTTAAAAAAATTTTTCTGCGTCTCAATCATTGACAGCTACAGGTTACTTATTACCAACACGGGAATTACTATCGAGCAGAAAGTGACGTAGGCTTAATACCGCATATCTTAAATCAGGCATGGGCAGCCTTTCTTGGTTCTGGGGCGAAATTATCATTCTCTCTCCGAGTCAAGGGCCAAACTAAATGGGTTTTCGCGTGTGTTTTTATGTATTGATATATTAATATCTCCAATGTAATGTTGTATGTGTAAAATTATAAAATGCAACAAGATACTAATCACTTCCTAGAGGGCCGGATTTAAAGACTTCGCGGGGGCGGATCGCGGGCCATATTCGGCCCGCGGGTCGCGAGTTGCCCACATATGTCTTAAATGAAAGATTGCAAGCAGAAATTTTAGATATCAATC